CCTCCACTTTATATGGGACGCCGCCACAGCATGGCTTGACTAGCGGTGCGTCGGTGCGCACCCGGGATCTGAACCGGCGAACCCTGGGCCGCAGCAGCGGAGCGTGCACACTTAACCGCTTGCGCCACCTGGCCAGTCCCCTGCCAGTGTCCTAAGTGGCCTGTAGAAGTGGCCTGTCCCTGAACTGACCAAAACTCTAAAAAAAATACCATATCATAATAAAAATATTAATATTGATTATTAATAAAAGGGTAAGAGACATCAATTTCCATTAGGACTAGGTAGCCAAAAGTAAGCAGTTGTGTCATCTGCATGTAATTGTTTGAACTCGATTTTATCTCCTATTATCAAATTTTTGTGGAATGGGTAATTTGTTAAATTATCACCTTTGACATATAGTGACTAAAATATAGGGTTTCTGGCCACAGGTCGTATCTGTGGAACATTACAGCTTCTCCTAAGGGAAGATAGAACTGCTGATTAACTTTACGGATGATCGTATCTGACATATAGTGACTAAAACATAGGGTTTCTGGCCACAGTTCATATCTGTGGAACATTACAACTTCTCCTAGGGGAAGATAGAACTGCTGATTAACTTTACGGAAGATTGTGTGTGTGTGTATGTAAAATTTGCAGGGGAGTCATTAGCATTTATAGCAGTAAACCAAATTGTAGCCTTTTGGTAGATTGGGCTCTGTCAGATAACTAGATTATTAATATAATTGGAAAATGAGAAAATACTTAAAGATACCATTTTTAAAAATTTTACTGTCGGGCCGGCCCCGTGGCTTAGCGGTTAAGTGTGCACGCTCCGCTACTGGCGGCCTGGGTTCATTTAATTCATTTTCTCTACTGTTTGGGATTCCATTGTATGAATATTCAACAACATATTTACCCATTCTACTCTGGACTGGCATTTAGGTTATTTCCTTTTCTCCCCCCCCTTTGTCTTTTACAAAATATACTTCTTTCACATTCTTATACATATCTTCTGATGCAGTGCTCAAAATTTTTCTAAAATATATACCTAGGAGTAAAATTGCTAGCTCATAGCTTATGCACATCTCTGATATTAATAGACAGCACCAAACTGTTTTCCAAGTGGCCGTGCCAGTTGATACTCCCAGCAGACTTCCTCCCTCCCTTCCCCCCTCCTTTCCTTTGCACATTCTGGTGAGTTTGAAATACATGTATTTTTGGGGGGGTTTTGTATTTATCAGTTAAGTATGTATTAGAGAGTCAGCTGGTTCTCCAAGGTATGTGGTGGGGAAAAAACAGCATTACCCTGCCTGCCCACATTTCTTGCTTTCTAAGGTGTAACCACTTTTACCTCTTTTAGCTTTCTTGTGTCTTTTTTGGTATCTGTTTTGCATGTTAGAGGTTTACGTCAGGTTTGAGAGTAAAGGACTAAAAGGCTTATTGGAAGCTCTGAGTGCATGAGGTGTTGTTGACTGCAGTTCTCTGTGGGGTGATCTAGGTGTACTGGTTGTTGGCAGAATCCCCCCTGCCTTGGTGAACTCCCCCACCCCCATATCAGTATCTTTAGATCTAAAGCTGATCGATTCTGCAGAGGGGACCCTCCCCACCTCTTGTCCAGGGCGGTGCAGGTGGGGGTAAAGGGCTGGTTGCTGGCAGCCCTGTGGGGAAGAAGACTTGGTGGGGGGTGTCAGTACTGATTGCGTCCCTTGTCTTTGGTGTAGCACCCTTGCCCTCACATGCGTTGGGTGTCCCCTGGTCCCTCTATTTTCCTCTCCAGAGATAAACCAATCTTCTGTGGAGGAGGAGAGGAGATAAAGCGATGCAGGCGCTTTTCCACAGCCTTCATCAGTCCTCTTCATTCGTTCAGCCCCTTCTCAGCCTGCCTGCAGAATCTCCCGGGCAGCAGTGCCTAAGCCTTCTGAAGCATTCTGTGGTGTCCGATGACTGCTTGGTCTGTACACTATTGGCTTCAGAGTCATCCTTCTCACCTTGGTTAAGTCAGTTACTGCTGGTCCGGTCTCTTCCAGCTTCTGAAATGTGTTCTTATTTCCTCTTTTCCCATTACCTTTGTCCTACTGAGAAATTGCCTTACTATAGTTTTCGTGAAGTTTACTACAGGTTTAGAGGCGGTGTCTTATTGAGGTTGTAATTTGCATTTTCCCAATTGTTAAAAGAGTTGACGTCTTTCCATATGCTCATTCATATTACTTTTTTGATCCCGTGCCTGTTCAAGTCTTTTGCCCATTTTCTAAGCATTGTTTTTTATTTTTTCCTTATTTATAGGAGTTATATATTCTGGATACCAATCCTTTGATAGTTTCTGACTTAACTCTTCAGTTTATGTTGTGGGACTTTTGGTGAACAATGGTTCCTTATTTTAATATTGAATTTATTAATATTTTCCTTTGTGATTTACATTTTTCTGTCTTTTAAGAGACCATCTTTACTCTGAAATTATAAACACATTCTCCTGTATTTACTTCTAAAATTGTGTAGTGTTGTCCTCCACATTTAAGCCTTTATTCTTCTTGGAGTTGATTGAAAATATGTATGATGATAAACAGGGATTCAATTTCATTTTTTTTTACATATAGGTAACTGATAGAGCACATCCCATGTACTGAAGAGTCCAGCCTGTCTTTTTTGTGTGTGTGCGTGAGGAAGATTAGCCCTGAGCTAACATCTGTTGCCAATCCTCCTCTTTTTGCTGAGGAAGATTGGTCCTGGGCTAATATCGGTGCCCATCTTCCTCTACTTTTTTATATGGGACGCTGGCACAGCGTGGCTTGAGAAGCAGTGCATCAGTCCATGCCCAGGATCCGAACCTGTGAACCCTGGACCGCCAAAGCAGAGCGCTAGAACTTAACCACTACGCCACCGGGTCAGCCCCAAGTCCACCCTGTCTTTTTGAGCTGCAGTGTCAGCTCTTTGTAAATCAATTTTCTGTTGGTCTGTGGGTATTTTTCTGGCTACTGTCTCCTGGTTTATGGGTCAGTTTGTCTACAGCTGCCCCATTATCACATTTTCTTAATTTGTGTGTAGGAGCTAGACATGTTCTCTTGCTGTTTACTCAGATTCTTAATCTTTTATTTCTTTAAACAAATTAATGAAATAGAAATTAAACACACAATAGAGGACTATTAAACTCAAAAGCTATTTCTTTGAAAAGCTTAATGAAAGAAACCAATTCTAGCAAAATTAATCAAAGAAAAGAGAGAATATAGACATAGTAGCAATGGCAAATACTACAGAGATGAATCATTAATAAGAGGCTGTTGTGAACAACTCTGTGTCAATTAAAAAAAAACTCAACAAATATCCTTGTACTGGCCACCCTTCACCCACTGCATTGAAACTCCCTGATATCCTTCTGGAATCTATTTCCTCCCACCCAACCTTCTCAGAAGGAACTTCTATCAAGAATTTGGTGTTTATCATTCCTGTGTGTTTGTTTATGCTCTGCTATACGTATATATACATCTGCAAACATTTACAAATCCACGTGCTCTATTTTCAGCCCTCTATGAAAGGTATCCTATACAGGCCGACCTCGGTGATACTGTGGTTCAGTTCCAGACAACCGCAGTGAAGCAAATACTGCAATGAAGCGAGTCACACTAATTTTTTGGTTTCCCAGTGCATATAAAAGTTACGTTTACGCTGTACTGTAGTCTATTTTTTGGTGTGTGTGAGAGAGGAAGATTAGCCCCGAGCTAATGTCTGTTGCCACTCCTCCTCTTTTTGCTGAGGAAGATTGGCCCTGGGCTAACATCCGTGCCCATCTTCGTCTACTTTGTATGGGACGCCACCACAGCATGGCTTGACAAGCGGTGCATTGGTGCGCACCCGGGATCCGAGCCCGTGAACCCTGGGCCACTGAAGTGGAGTGCGCGCACTTGACCACTGCACCACGGGGCTGGCCCCTGTACTGTGTAGTCTATTAAGTGTGTGATAGCACTATGTCTAAAAAGTACATACTTTAATATATAATATAAAATATAATAATGGAGAAGTTTGAAATATTGTGCGAATTACCAAACTGTGACACAGAGACACAAGCTGAGCAAATGCTGTGGGAAAAATGGTGCCGGTAGACTTGCTCGATGCAGGGTTGGCACACACTTTCAGTTTGCGAAAAACAGTATCTATGAAGCACAATAAAACAAAGGATGCCTGTACAGTGTAAGTCTTCAGTCTTTTATCATCTCTGTTTTATTTGTGAGGCTCATCTGTGTTGACAGACTCAGTTCAGCCATTGTTTTTAATTGTTTTGTGGGATTCTGTTTTATAAATATACCATGATTTATTCATTTTCTTATTGGATATTTAGATTTTCTTTTTTAAAAAAATTATTTTTTTGAGGTCACATTCGTTTATAACATTGTGTAAATTTCAGGTGTACATTATTATATTTCAGCTTCTATATAGACTGCATCGTGTTCACACCAAAAGTCTAGTTTCCATCCATCACCATATATACGTGCCCCTTTACCCCTTTCGCCCTTCCGCACCCCCTCCTCTCTAGTAACCGCCCATCTGTTCTCCTTATCTATGAGTTTATCTTCCAAATATGAGTGAAATCGTACAGTATTTGTCTTTCTCTGACTTATTTCGCTTACATAATACCCTCAAGGTCCATTCATGTTGTCACAAATGGCATGGTTTTGTCCTTTTTTATGGCTGAGTAGTATTCCATTGTATATATATTTATATCTATATATATACCACATCTTCTTTAGCCATTCATCATTGATTGGCACCTGGGTTGCTTCCAAGTCTTGGCTACTATGAGTAATGCTGCGATGAACATAGGGGTGCATATATCTTTTTGAATTAGCATTTTTGTGTTCTTTGGATAAATACCCAGAAGCTGGATCATATGGTATTTCTATTTTTAGTTTTTTGAGAAATCTCCATACTGTTTTTTTATTATAAATAATGTTGCTATGAATATCTTACATGTGGTCTATATGCTAGGGTTCCTTTGGGATAAATATCTATATAGAGAATTGCTGGCTTGGTCGTATGCCCATCTTCAGCCTTACTAGATATTGCCAAATTGTTTTCCAGAGTAGTTGTTGTTTAATAGTTTTGATTTTTTTTCTTTCAGTGCCTGAAGACCTCTCATTAGAAGAGAGAGAAGAACTTTTAGACATTCGTCGAAGAAAAAAGGAACTTATTGATGACATTGAGGTAAAAAAAAAATCTCCTTTAGTTTTTGCTTTTAGGTAAAATAATAAATAACTTCATGAAAATGTAAAAAATGGGTATCTAGTATGTGTATATCTGAATCACACGAAGAGACAGAGCGAAAGAGTTATCCAGGTTGGTAAAGCAGATATCACGCTTACCAGACATGCAGACACTGGGAGGGAAATGAAGACATCACAGAACTAGAGTCAGCAGTCAGTGACTCGTGACTCCAGAGTCAAAAAGGACGTGTTTAAACAACAGCAGCAGCCTACAAGCATATTGCTCTCTAAAATTGTATAACAAGACCCTGTTTCGTTTGCCAGTATCCCTCGCACCTATAACATTGCCTGTCACGGTTTTGGCACTCAGGTATCTTTTGAATAAAGGAATAAACATATTGAGTTCTACCTGTGCACCCAGCACCTACTAGCTGGTGAGAGTAGAATGACAAATACAACACAGGCAGATAAACACTGTGCTTTCCGTGTTTGTGTACTCAGAGGACAGGGTGGAGGGGGTCCCACGGGAGAAGCAAAGAGTAGAGCCACAGTCTCAGAGTCAGAGTGTCTGTAATTGTTGCAGAAATTATTCAGAAGACCAGCACTCTCTGCTTCCGTTTGGGGCTTCCTTGGGAAATCAACCAGACATGCAGCGCTTCTTTGAGAAGCTTCCCACTCATTGTCATGCCAAAATCAACGTGGCTTCGCAGGCCACTTGTGCAAGACCAAGCCTTGTCCAGACAATAGCTCCTTTCTAGGAGCTCACATTTTAAGTCTGAAGTTTCTTGGCACACAAAATAATAGGGTTCCGAATAAAAATTTCTTTGTATTTGAAAGATAATTTGTGGAGCTTTTTCTTCTAAGGTTGCCCTTCCTTCTTACCCTGCACCCTTCAGTAACCCAGAATGGGTGCTTTCGTTGAAGAAGAAGCATATATTTTAAGGTTAATGGTCCTATTTGGATGTTAATAAAAATAGTGCGTCTGGAGTCTTATGTAGCTCTGAGGACCTCATTTTTGAGTTGAGAACGCCCCTAGGCCCAGAGAGGTTAAGAGGGTTGCCAGAGGTCTCTCAGTAAGTGACGGACCCACATGGAGGGACAGAGGAGTCCCAGTGCCGTAGGCACGTTCTGTTGTCACCTCCTGGGCTCTGTCCATGGTGCTTCATCTCATGCAATGTGGCCTCTGCATAGAAATCACCCTGAGACTGGTGGTTAGGGGACCTAATCAGTGTGTGTAAGCTTCCTCTTCTCCCCGGTCTTCCCAGGGCCGGAGGCGGCAGTGAAGGAGAGGGCAGGTGAGAGTGGGTGTGGTGATGGTCAGAGGCTGCAGCAAGTGAGCTGAAGACGCCTCGTGTCCTTCTGCTCTTCTTATCTTTTACACCTGTGACATTCTCCCAGTGTCCCTTCGTGATTTTACACACACTCCAGAATCTCCCTAGGGGACCCCCGATCTCGTCCTGTTGAGAGGTGTTGGAATAAATAATTCTGTTTTCTCCTGAGCTGGGGTGGTTCTGACTAGGCAGCTCTCTCTGTGTCAATAAAAGTATTGGTTTTCCATCCCTGTGATGTCCAGATGAGACCTCAGGCAAGCATGCACCTGGAAGGCTAAGATTTTCTGAGTCTAGGAGGAGGAAGTGAAGACTCCCACCCCCACCGTTCTTTCTTCTCTCTTGACAGAGACTGAAATATGAAATAGCTGAAGTGATGACAGAGATTGACAACCTAACATCTGTAGAGGAGAGGTAAACAATACGGCTACACCTTCAAGTCAGTTCCTCTCCTTTCTCCTCACCGCCAGCTGAACTCATAGAAACAGCGGTGACTACAGCAGGGGTGGGAGGGTGGGACGGGGAAGTGGGCGTCCTTTTTGGAGTTGTTTCCTCTTCTCTCCACCCCTCACTCCTTCCTGCTGTCCGTGGAGGAGTCGGTGTGCTGGTCTGGGGGCTGCTTCTCTCCCCTACTTTCTCTAGTTCATCGTCTGCCCTTGTAGTTCAGGAAGAGGCACAGGCACCTCAGCATTCACCTGTAGGAGGTAACCTTTCTGTGTAACAAGGAACTGTGCTTTTCCTAAATGGCCGTTTCTCATCATTAGCTGTTTGGAAAGAAGTTATCAAGTGTAGAAAAGAGCCCCGGCAGCCGTCCAGCTGCTGCTCCCACCTTGGAGGACGGAGGGCTCTTGGGAGCCCCTGCTTTCTCCTTCATGCCTTGTCGTGGAGGGAACGTGCTGAGTGCCGTGGCCAGCGCTCTGTGGGAGACCACACACTCACCATGCGGTGCAAACAGCCGGTAACAATTTCTTAATTATTTCACACGCATAGCAAAACGACTCAGCGGAACAAGCAGATAGCTATGGGAAGGAAGAAATTCAATATGGATCCCAAAAAGGTAAGAGAACGTTTTCAGTTTTTTGGCCTGCAAGAGATTGGTTGACTGATTTTGATGGCTGTCTCCCTTTTGGACAAAGGTGGTCATATCACCTCATAAAAATACTGAAAGTTGATGTTAAATTTTTATCAAAAAAGGGGCTGCTAATGAATGGGGTGAAGCAAAAGTGTCCATTGAACTGGTCCTTGGACCAAAAGGCCTTTCTTTCCATGTGAAGTTCTGAGTGAGGACTAGCCTCACTGGAGCCACATGGACACGTGTTCAGGGCCCTCAGTGAAGCCAGGCCCCACAGCCAGGGAGTTGCATGGTTCGTGGGGGCAGAGGGAGGGTGGAGTCCAGATGGGAAGTTTGTATATTTTATGGTCTAAGCGGGTTAAATGATTCAAGAAGGAGGACTTGATTCCTTTCATTCACCTTAAAAAGAGGATGTCTGTATGAAAGACCCAGGAACTGTCCAAATTTAAGCCAATATCTTGGTCTTTCCTCAAGTTAGATTTTCTGGGAAAACACCCCAAAATAATGAAGCCTGCAACATGTAGCTGCTTGTTTTTGAGACTGAGCTAAAGGACCAAAAATCTATAAAGCTTTTTGGAACATATGGTTCAGTTGTAAGATTCTTTTGGTTTTGAGAAAGAAGAGTGGACCTGAGTCGGCCACAAAGGCTTGTGGTCTAGGAGAGGAAAGACGTGTGTGTGGAGAGGTCGCCGTGGGCCTCCTCCCGGTTGACTTCCACCTGCAGAGCTGGTTTACTGCCTTCCTCGTTGGTCTTGAATTGGTATTCACGTCTAACATCTTTGTGTTTTTTGGCATTGAGCCTCTGTACTAGTTAATTATTTGTTCATTCAATAAATGTTTGTTGGTTAAGGAATTAGACTGTGCAATGTCTGAAATCTGTAAACTTACATTTACGGGTGCAAGCACAGTTGCAAATATTATTTAAAAAAAAACATACTATTATTCCCTATTCATAGTTTGCAAAATTGGATTTTCTTCAGGTACAGCACCTCTGCAGCCAGGGGAGGGTCTTTGTTTAACTGGTGTCCTCTAGCCACTGTGAACATTTTCCTGTTGCTTTCTAATTCTCTGCTTATGGGGCATAAATCATCTCCAAATTGTCAGTGGGGATGATTTTGTGAATTTGGTAATGATTTCATATTTGGGGTTAGTAACAGTTGTTTTTTTTGAAGTTGAGCTTACCGAGTTGAATTATCAGCTGATTTAATAAGCATTGGGAACATCTCAGGAGAGAGATCATTTAACAAGTGGATGTTTTTAAAACAGGACGTTATGTTTTAAAGTGCAGCACAGGACAGCCACACCAGTAAGTTCAAGGATAAATTCAAGTCTTGCTCATGAATCAGACACATACTTATTTTTTGAAGTGGTGCTAGCACTCTGCCTCAGGTTTCAGTTTCATGAGCATGAACTTACCCTCAGTTCTTAGAAGGTCTTCTGTCAGGTTCTTTCCCATCTTATTTCACATGTACTATGTGTTAGATTTACAATAATAAGGGCCAAGGAACTTGCCGGCCCAGTGTCCCGAGCAAGGAATCTGACTCTGAGACTCGTGCCGTAACCGCCGCACTGACTGAGCTCCTACAGGCGCTGGGGCTGGTTTGTGGGGAGCACTGAGTCAGCCTGGATGGCCCAGACCACTAGTTGGCCCTGTGGTGTCTGCCGACCACATCTTAGGAAGTGGGTATTTCATCCGCTTTGTCTGGGCTGCAGCGAATTGCTCTGCAGGCTTTGTTTTGCATTCCTCTTCACCTGAAAGTTTTTTTAAATATTATTGGTTGCATTCAACAACTTATTTGTGATTATGTTGCTCAATAAAAGCAGATGGCACATTGTCTGCGTGTTTACTTTTGTTGGGAAAAATTATCAGAGTTCTCTGGTTTTATAGATTTGGTTATATTTAGACTTGTTTTAGTCAGTTCGGGCTGCCATAACAAAATACCATAGACTGGGAGGCTTAAACTATAGAAATTCATTTTCTCACGGTTCTGGAGGCTGGAAGTCCAAGATCAAGGTGCCAGCATGGTCGTGCTCTGGTGAGGACTCTCTTCCTGGCTTGCAGATGGCCATCTTCTTGCTGTGTCCTCACACAGCAGAAAGAGCAAGCTCTCTGGTGTCTCTTATAAGGGCACTACTTCTATCAGACCAGGGCCCTGCCCAAATGACCTCACCTAGCCCTAATCACTTCCCAAAGGTCCCACCTCCTAATACCATCACACTGGGGGTCAGGGTTTCAACATACGAATTTTAGGGGGACACAGACCTTCAGTCCTTGATGGCACTGGATGATCTCACATGCTTCAGACACATTTCCAAATTATATTCCTCCCCATGCACCTGTTAAACCATGTGATGTTGTGAAACATGAGGCTATTTTCAGAATAAGTACATTCTTTCAGGCTAGTAGGAAATTCTTTGTCACAGAGTAATAACGTTTTGAGCAAGGAGCTTTGGTGTGTTCAGGTGTATTAGAGAGCCAGAAGTAGCACTTGGGTTTATAAATGAATAAGAAGAAAGGTTGATTAGATCACGGAAGCTGAAAACACTCAGCAGCCTCTCCCTTTTATTCCCAATTTCCTAGAAATGCCTTTAAAAATATAACATATAAATCTAGAACAAGCAGGAGGTCACTGAGAGGACTAGAAATTGAAGGATCCCTGAAAGACACAAGATAAATGGTAGCCCAAAGCACGTAGAAGAAAGAACTGCTCCAGGAAGGGAGAGCAGCGTCAGGGGCTCTGCACGCTCAGGGGCAGCAGGTGTGGGGCATCGACTGTGGGAGGGACATCTAGACTGTTCGCCCTTGCTGAGCTTGCACTGAGCAGTGGTGTGTGCCCCCAAGTGGCAGAAGCAAGAGAGGGGCCACTTAGTCTATGAAAACAGGCTGCACTTTCGGTAGCTGTCATCACTAAGAAAGAGAAACGCTCACTCCCAGAGACCAGCTACTGGCACACCCCACCTGGCTGCATTACCTGTTCCGCGGCCAGATCCCTGGAGGTGGCTGCAGTCAAAACCAGACACAAATGGCATTCAGTTAGGCTACCAGAGAATCTTCAATACAATGATGGACACCCGACCAGGAATCACCAAATGTACGAGGAAACCGACACCATGAAAGAGATGTGAAACTCGATGAGCATAAGAACACACACCGGAGGAAACAGACTTCACGGAAACAATAGAAGGAAACATTAAAAGTAGGATATTTTTATATATTATAAATCTCATCAAAGAGATATGATGGATGTTGCTTATCCGTGATACAGAAACAGAGTAGTGAGAAAGATCCTTGGTGATGAAAAATAGTGTCATGGGAAAACCTGAGAGCTGGGCTGTGACAGAGAGGATGCTGTTGAATAGTGGCTTAGTGAGCTGGAGCGTGCAGTTGTATAGTGCTCTCCGTAGTCTGGCACAGAACTACAAGACCTAGAAGACAGGTCTGGCAGCTCAGATTTCACCTGATGGAAGTCCCGGAAGGAGAGAGAAGAAAATGGAGTGCAGGAAATATTTCAAAGAAATATTGGAATATTTCAGAACTAGGTTAAGATAGAATCCTGAGATTCAAAGGGCTCACCAAATGCCAAGCAGGATAAATTTTTAAAAGACTTATGCCTAGAGTAAAATACCAGAAACCTTGGGGATAAAGAGAAAGTCACTGAAGTTTCTGGGAAAGAAAGACTAGATTCTCTAAGAAGAAACAAGAGTCACAGTGAGTTTATTAACAACCGTGGATCAGAGACAACAGGGAAGCAGTGTTGTCCAAGGTGGGGAAAAATTATTTAAAACCTAGAATTCTGCCCTCAGGACTGTCACCCTTGAGAGGAGACAAGTGAAGACATTTTCAGACATGTGAAGACTCAAAAAATTCAGCACCAAGACCTTCTCTGAGCTCTAGAAATTGAGTGGTTGGAGCAGTACCCTCTCAACAAGAAATGAATCCAAGGCAAGATGCAGGAAGAAGAAGGGAAAGATGCTCAAAGAAACCAGCAAAACTTGTAGTTAAGTCCAAGTGAGAGATTGATTAAAGAATATTTTTAAAATTAAAGCCCCAGGTTCTCTCAATATGTAAATAGCAAGGGGGAAAGGAAGGAGGGAAGTAAGTCGGGGAGGGTGTTCTAGGTGTTGATAGATGAATATAAGTTTAAATATTTGTTAAAGTTTTAAGAGGAAGCACTAAGAATAGCAATAAAATAGGATTTCTAAATTGTTAGGAATACTTGAATAAAGAGAGCTTGATCAATTCCACAAAAGGCTGACGAAGTGTGAGAAATAGAACAAAATGGGATCAGGAATAAGTCCTAGCAATCAGTAAGCACCATAAATCTGATTGGGCTAAAGACTTGGAAGCAACCTAAGTGCCCATCAAGGGACAGATGGATAGAGAAGATGTGGTATATATACACAATGGAATACTACTCAGCCATAAGAAATGATGAAATCCAGCCATTTGTGACAACATGGATGGACATTGAGGGTATTATGCAAAGTGAAATAAGTCAGAGGGAGAAGGTCGAATACCGTATGATCTCCCTCATTAAGTAGTAGATAATAACAACAACAAACAAACACATAGAGACAGAGATTGGATTAGTGATTACCAGAGGGGAAGGGGGGAGGGAGGAGGGCGAAAGGGATAATTCAGCACACGTGTGTGGTGATGGGTTGTAATTAGTATTTGGGTGGTGAACATGATGTAATCTATGCAGAAATAGAAGTATAATGATGTACACCTGAAATTGATACAATGTTATAAACCAATGTTACTGCAATAAACAAAAAATGAAAAAAAATCTGGGCTAAATTAACCTCTGAAAAGACAGACACTTGCGTATTAGGTTACAAACACAACAGGAAAATCCAGCTATATTCTGATCGAGACACATACTTAGAACAAATAACAGTATGAGGGAGCCCTGTCTTGGGCACTGAGAGTTTTAGCTGGAATATCATCTCTGAATTTGTAGAAATAGCCTCCAGGTAAATAGATGACAAAATTCCCTGTTCTCTTACTAGCTTTGCCAACATGTATTTTGAAACCAGCTCAGAGCTATGTCAGAGGTACGTTTTTGCTGCTATTAGGACTTCTCAGGAGACAGAGCACAGCTCATTCAGGCCAGGGCAGCCACTCTGCAGATTTTTATTCAGAGACTGTTGGCTGCTCTCTGTAGGTCCTTCAAGTGGGCGTGAATTTTGACTGCCTTAAGCTCAGTGGCACTGTGATCAGTTAGCATTTTCAGCCACAGGTAACAGCAAATCCTGTAAAGACAGGTTACACAATGGGCTGTCTTCTCCCACAGCGGAGGTGGCTGCAGGGTGTCGAGTGGCTCCCAAGGGGCAGGACCGAGGCCCTGTGTTCATCCCCACCTTTCCTTCATACAGTGGCCACTGGGGCTCCAGTCATCACATGTGTGTTCGAGGCAGGAAGAGGAGGATGGAGCAGTGCCTGCTCGTAGGTCCCCTTTTATCGGGAAACCAGCAGCTTTCCCAGGTCCTCCCTACAGACTTCTGTTTGTCTGTTTGACCAGATCTGTGTCACAAGGTCACTTCTAGCTGCAAGGGAGGCTGGGAAAATGATTCTTTAGTGAAGGATGGTGAGGGAAGAGGGTGCTTGGGAATGGGTATTGATTGGCCATCCGCGTACGACGTGTTCCTCTCAGACACAAAGCAGATCCTCTTCCTGAGCTTGGGAAATTTGGCATTATTGTTACTTCTGCCTGTGTAATCTCTAGTAACCACTTACAGTGGTTTGCTCAGTAACCTGTTTGTCCTTTAACCTGTTAGAGTGCCAGGAGGAACTAATGGTTTGCTTTGCTTTGTTTTGATGGATACAGTGTAGTGTGGTGATGTGAGAATCAGGTCATGCTCTTGTACTATTTTTGCTGTGTCCAAACGAGTAAGATGGTTACACTAAATGTATTTCTGTCTTGGAAAAATGAGTCTGGGTGACCCTCCTAACCAGTGCCTCCGTTCTTATGTTTGTCTTCAGGGAATTCAGTTTCTAATAGAAAATGACCTGCTGCAGAGTTCCCCAGAAGACGTGGCCCAGTTCCTGTATAAAGGAGAAGGCCTAAATAAGACTGTCATCGGGGACTATCTGGGTGAGAGGTAAGTTGAAGGAGAATGAGCAGCCTGACCTGGGCCCACCCTCTACATCAGGGTCTGTCCCAGTTACTCAGCCGTGGGCTGTAGGGGTACACAGGCTGCTCCCCAGTAAGGAGTGAGCCCCGTGCAGTCACGTCCTCATCTGTGGACATGAGGAGAGAAGTGTGGGTATTCTGGGGCCGGGTGGGAGCTCTGCTTCCCTGGAATCCTGACGGAACTGAAATGCCACTGCCTTCTCCTCGCCTTGGAACACATCTTCATCTTTTTTTGATGTTTTGCCCGGAAATATACCAGATTTGTCAGTGATTTTCTTTCCCCTGTTACTTGGGGGGGATGAATAAAGGTGGAAAGTTAGTAATGTTTTAAATGGAGGGCAGCTGGTCAGATTCACTTTCCTGGCTAACTCCACTTAAAAGTCCACTTGCCCTGCTTAGCAGAGGGAGGGCAGGAATTCTACGGCAGCACGTCCCCTGAGTGAGCCAAAATTAACTTTGGGTTTTTAAACAAAAGCCCAACAGTTGCTCAACCAGGGTGGCCTCTGTTTCTAGCTTTTTATTAAAAATACTTTATCAAAAGTGAAAAGTGGTAGAAGACCTATACAATGAAAACTATAAGACATTATTGAAAGAAATCAATGATGACATAAAGAAATGGAACGACATCCCATGTATCTGGATCGGAAGAATAAACACAGTTAAAATGTCCATACTACTGGGCTGGCCCCGTGGCTTGGCGGTTATGTGCTCGCGCTCCGCTGCTGGCGGCCCGGGTTTGATCCCGGGCGCGCACCGAC